TTTCAGAAAGTCACACCCACTAGCAACTCAGGTGACCAGACTACCAGACAGTTTAACAGTCTCATTCTCACCACCACCTGAATCATGCCACACAGCCTGGCTAACTTAACTGAACGATTCGCCTGGAGAGCTGTAAAGGCACTGGTACCTAGGTTTAGACCCCAGAAGATTCCAATCTAAAGTTTTAAATGGCTATTAAAACACATAACTCTTTTAACCTAGTCTGCATTTGCTAAGCTCAGAATGGTTTTCACCTGAATGTTCTGCCTCTGTGTTGTATCAGCAATATTATCTACCAAACAGCTGTCAAACTAATTCCAGATTACAGAAAACACATTTATATTAAATACATGAGGCTTTAGCCACTGAGGTTCAAGTCACTTAATATTCAATCTAGGAGAAAGGTCAATGACCAGTGCTTCATTGGGATCCTTATGAGTCTAAAGGTCTTCTACTATGAGTCACCACTGCTTGGATTAATATCAAAACTTTCCAAACAATTAAACACCCAATAGATTAAGAACTCCTACAAATTAAGAAGAAAAATAAAGAACATGTACCAAGAAGAAAACATATGAAGAACAAGAAAACTGTTTACCAAAAGAAATAAGTGACAAAGGAAGCTTTTCAACTTCACTAAATAGCAAAGTAATACAAATTAACCTGAAGCTCCAATTCTTTACCAAAACAAGAATAAATATTTATCTATAGAAATAATATAATACATAAATACTCAAACTCAAAGATACAATAATGTATTTTTAAACATAGTTTTAAACTATATGGTCCAGGAGCCCTAAGTGTTCATATTCTTATAACAGCAGAATATAAAAATGGCCCAAATGGCAAGTATTAGGGAAGTTATTTTAATAGTTAACTAAATTATTCAAAATCCAAACAATCTAGAGGATAATGTATTAAAGGTTCAAAAATGCAATGTTATAAAGAAAAGCAACACAAAAGTATGCGTAGTATGACAATTTTTGTGATTTGTCATCCTCAACATACTCAAATGTTAAAGTGGAATTATAGGGGGCTGGAGAGAGGACTCAGTGGTTAAGAGCACATGTTGCTCTTGCATAAGACCTGAGTTCCAATTCCAGGCACCTACATGGTGGCTCACAGTCATCCATAACTCTAGTTCCAGGGAATCAAAAACCCTCTTCTGACTTCCATAGGCACCAGGCACATCATACATGCATTCAGGCAAAACATCTATACACATAAAAAAATAAATAAAAATAAGAAAACTTCAAAGTCATTTTTAAAAAGTGAAATTATGGGTAACTTAAAACTTTACTACTATTTTTAAAAAGATTTATCTTTAGTTTTCACTGTATGTGTATGTGTGTCTGTGTATCTGTGAGTAGATAGATGTGTGTACATAGGTGCATGAAGGCCAGAGGCATCAGATCCCCTGGAGCTAGCGTTAGAGGTAGTTGTGAGTCATCCGATGTGAATGGCTAAGAATTGAACCTTAGCCACTGAGCCATCTCTCAACCCCAAATTTGTTTCAGAATCACTTAAGCATAATAATCATAGAAAAATAGCTAAACAATTTTGTCATGATGCATCTGAGCATACCAATATTTGTGATGGATATTTAGTGTTGAGATGCTAGTTTCAGAAGGCCCCGCTGGTCTGATGGCCTCACATGAATTAAAAATTCAGGTGATTGTAGACAGCTGTCCTCAATAACCACCATTACTTACTCCAGAAAATCTAAGCCAGCTGACAACTGACTCTTACTTGCCACAATGGGGACCCTTTTGGAACCTCACTCTGAAAAAGCATTTATAAGACTATTAGACCACACAAAAGTAGGCCATAATAGCCAAGATGAGACAAAGCTAGCCTAAGGTCACTCTATGCTATTAATGAAAAGGAAGGGTTACATGGAGAAAAAAATGTTTTCTGGATGTCCATATATACAATGATGTTTACTCAGGAAATAAATTCTTTGAAGTTTAATGCCCATTATTCTTATTAGCTAACATCAAAACACTTCCAACAAACTTTACAGAGCTAGAGTAATTTTAGAGACACTGTCCCCAATGAAAAAAATAACGTTCTATTCACAAACTGTAAAGAAGACATAAAACATAAATGTTCCAATCATAAAACTGCAAAGATAATATATTAAAACATACCAAAAACTCTAAAGATAAGCCAGGCATTTGATAAAAGCCTTAAATATTCAAGGTAACTATCACATAGCATTTTTACATCAATTCATTATAAAATACTATAAATTTATCATAAAATTTCTAAGTCCTCCAAATGAAAGTACTGCCAGATTATCTTCATCATGTTCTTCCAAATACTTAAAGCATCCATATCTCTAAAAACTTCAGGAAAATGGTACAATGCAATACTAAGTAGCCTATCAGTTAATTCATTTTTTAAAAACTTCATAAACATCTCTTCCCAAGATAGCAAACTAAATCAGTAAGTCTGTACTACTCTGCACCATTATCTGCATTCTTTAAAAGAAAATATTACTTAGCATATAGTGCAATCGGGAAACTTCCTTCAATTTTTAAGATGTAACTGAACAGAATCTTATAATAAAGCATTTTCTGAATTACTAAACTGGTTTATCTTGACAAAAATCACATAGTAGGAAACTTTGTACTGTCCAATTCCTTTCCACTCTGTATGAATAGCTGAACTCACATTTCACCATCCAAAGATTCACTTAGGCACATCCAATGTAAGTTTCACCTGAGTGTCCGTGTTGTTGCACTCAAGTTGTTCCATAGCACTTTTCAGCAACTACTCTTACTATAAGATTGAGTGTGACTCCCTTCTTGCCCAGTCATAATGTGACTAAGGAAATTAAAAAATGTATGTCTGTCACAGTAGAAATGTACAGTCACAGTGTTCCAGAGATAACAATATGGTTGGCCTGAAGTTCCTTACATTTAAACACTAGTTCACTTTATTTTTAAGTGTGTGTGTGTGTGTCTGTGTATCTGTGAGTAGATGTGCGTACATGTGTACACGAAGGCCAGAGGCATCTGATCCCTGGAGCTAGCGTTAGAGGCAGTTGTGAGTCATCCAACGTGAATGGCTAGGAATTGTTTTCTGCTTTGCATAATTGCCAAAAAAAAGACCATTTACGCCTGTTCTATGTGTGAATGAGGCCACCTTCCCCTCCAAAAATATGAGCAGAGAACATCACAGTCATACAGTAGTCTCCATCAACAACTACCATTTCATTTTCCACAATTACCTTAGAAACTGTTACCTCTTCTCAAAGGCCAAAAACTTAACTAAGTAGTATAAAAAATAGAAACTATAGTAAATATTAACTTATTTCAATGTTTGATTAGTATACAATTCAGAATAGATGGCAAACAGAAAGAAGACCAATGTTTCAGAAATCTTAAAAAAGGTTATGATAGTCAAAAATGAAGAAACAACACCTAGCCTATATATTAAGGAAATAAGGAGAGTATTCACTAGACATTACTCATTTCACCTCTACAATGGGATTCTAGCTTTAAAAAGATTTTTATTTGCCTACTTTCTCCATTTCCACAAAAAAGCAAAGTGCTGAGGTTATATGAAAACCTGTTTATAACTGGAATTAAGTACTATACTAGGAGATCCATTATAACTTGATTAATAGATTAGAACAGAATATAAGAATACACAAACAATTTTACAGGTATGTAAAGGTTTCCTTAAAAATATCATTAATAGAAAACTAAAATATACCTAGAACATGCTTTAGAAAAATCTGCTTCTTTCATTTAAATCTTTTCCCACTCATTTTAATATAAGGAGCTACTAAAGGAATTCAGTCAAGATATTCTCACAATAAAAAGCATTTCTCAAGACCATTTAAACTCATATTTAATATGCTATATGAAAAGTATATGAAAGAGACTTATTGTTAGAGGTTCACATATAGTAATTTTTAAATCATTCTTGCTATTGCGTTTACATGGTTAGTTATAAATTTAGATAACCAATATGATTTTTCTTGAAATATCTTTTGTACACCAGCAATATGTTGCCTTATGCAGAAAACTAAAAAGAAAAAAAGTCATCTATAAAACTTTAGAAAATCAAAACTTTCCCCTTTTTAATGCAGCAATAAATAATGCTGTCATGACCTATTAAGCATGTTACTTTACAAAATATTCCTAGTCATTTAATTCTCTTCAATACTGAGAACTCATCACTTAAAACCCATTCAGATACCATCTTCCTTCCTCTATGAAATCTCAAGACTGCCTTTGTAGCACAGTGTCCAATGTGACAATACAGGGAAAGCAAACATATTAAAAAATGTAATAAATTGCACACCCTTTTCTCTATGAGAGCTGAAACAAGCCAATTTCTAGATAACTTTTAAAGCATGGGAGATTAAGGGGAAAGTTTTTAAAAAAAAAAAAAAAAAACATTCTTTTCAATTTGAGTGACAAAGTAGGATTAAAAAATGTGCAATATGGGTTAACTAGTTTATCATTCACTAAACCTGGGGGAAAACACACAAAACTATTGTTTTAGGAGGAACAGTAATTAGAAAGCTTTAATGAAAGAATGTATTTATTATTATTCCAGACACCATAAGCTCAAGTGCAGAGACTAGATAATAAAACAAGGTGCCTATTCCTGAGGAAAATGTACTTGTACTTAGTAATAATGCTGAACAGTAAGTATTAAATCTATGCAGTGCTATAAAGGCAATGATGGAAGTTCAGATAGTATGTTACAGAGAAAGACCTGTAAGAATTCCATTGCTTAAAAACTAATCTTGTCCCTGTCATTAATCACTTAATGTTTTTGCTGATGTGCTAAAGTGCACTGGCAACTCAGAACAGGTTTGTTTGTTAAGTTGGCCGTGTCTTGTTAATAGACTGCAGTCTTCAAATTTATAGAGAGCTGCAGGTCTCCTGGATTTTTTCAAGTGTCACTCATCTAACTGAGTCTGACAGCTGAGAAAAGCCATCAGGTGCTTTACAGTCAGTTTAAAAAACATCCTCTACCTGGTATCTCTGCAGTGATTGTCTTGCTGCTCCCTGAAACCTCTTCATCATCATCTGACGAGCTCGTGCTTGAGTCACAAGTCAGGTCACTATCACTGGTACTACTGTCCTGCAGCAGGTTGTACTTCTTCCTTGCAGCGGCCTCCCGTTTCTGCCTCAGTAGTCTGATCCTTTCCTTGTGCTTTTGGCTCCGATGACCTTTAACCTTGGTGACTCGGCCATTCTGCTTATCACTGGATTGCCGGTTTTTCTTGGCAGCCATAGTAGATGTTTCACTTTCAGAACGGGACCGTCTAGACTTGCGCCCAACAGTGGCACCAGACACTCCTGAAGTATCTCCTTCTACTGTAGTTTCTGCTTGAGAGGGTTCATTCTCTTCTACAGAAGACAACGTATCTGAATCAGCCAAGTGACCACTAGAGGAAGGGGAAAGCATGCAATGATTAGAGGAGTCACTCTCATAAACTCTGCCAGCTGTGGGCTTGTCACTCTCTGTGGATGCTAACTGAGACTCTGAAGAGTCCCTTCTCAGTTCCATCAACAAACAGGGCATTGAAGAAAGAACTGTAGAGTCAGCTACACCATCCTTTGGAACTTGAGATTCCAGTTCTACAGAACCATCTTCCTCCTTGACTGTTTCTTGTTCAGAGGTTTTTGGTGGGGCTGCAGACTCAATGAGTTCTTCTACTTTTCCCACTGTCTCCTCCATCTTCATTTCAGAATTCCAAATTAAATCATGAAGCAGAGTCTAGGAAACGGTATCAAAGACGCAACAGGAAAGCAGCCTGCATGAAAACACATAAAGTCAATGACTAGAAATGGAATTTTATTTAACCTATACAGTATGCTATTTTTCTAAGTGACAAAAGTTATTACTCAGGCAGACCTTCAACTATGTACCCATACTCTGCTTCACTGGCAGTCATACTCAAAGGACGATCCTAGCAGTCTTATCTACTAAAAACAGAACATTAATCCCCTCTTGCTGTAATTAAAGTAAGGAACCAAAGAGTTGGGTTTAGAACTTTAGATGGGGCTGGGAAAGTAGCATAGCACAGAGTGCTTGTTTAGGGTACCTAAAGCTCTGAGTTCAATCCCAATAAGAAAGACTTAAAACACTCAAGAAAGAAATCTTTGAAAACCTTTAATGTAATGTGTACTTGACTTTAGTATAAATGAAAACAATGGTTTAAAATACGACTATTCTGAGGCTGGAGGTGTAGTTCAGTCGGTAGTGTTTGCCTCACATATATGAAGCTGGGGTTCAATCCTCACCACTACCTAGAACTAGACATGATGGTACATGCCTGTGATTTCAGCACTAGAGAGGCAGAGGTAGGAAAATCAGGAGTTTAAGTTCATCCACAGTAAATTTCAGGCCACCCTGGGATACTTGAGACCCTATATCAAAAAAGAAAAAAACAAAAACCAACAAGTAGGAGTAGTCTGACATGGACATGGTAGCACAGGCCTACATTCCCAGCTACTTGGGAGGCTGAGGTATGAGGATCCCAAAGTCACCTACTCGGACAACTCTGGAGACCCTGTCTCAAAATAAAAACAAAGGGGACAGAAAGATGGCTCAGTGTTTGTTAAAATATTAGCTGCTCTTGCAGCATAACCTGGTTTGGGTCCCAGAACCTACACAGCTGCTCCTTTCTGTAACTCCAATTCCAGGGGATCTAATACTACTGGCACATATATACATGCAGGCAAATACTTCTATACATAAGAAATAAATCTTTAAAAACATATAGATATCAAAACATAGATATAAACGGGGCAGGGACCAGAATGTAGCTCAGTAGTAGAGTGTTTGCCTAACATGTTCAATGCCCCAGTACCACCAAACACAGCACTAACCTGGGAATCATTGTAACTAAAAGAAAGAGGAGATATAAAGGGGAGAACTATCTAATGTACACGTGAAGATTGCTGGAGGGGGCGGGTTATGCATGTGTGTGCAAGTGCATGTACAGGCCAGATGAAAACTTCCTGTGTCATTTCTCAAAAGCCATCCATCTGTTTTATCAGACAGGATCCATCACTGGCCTGGAGATAGTCAATTCCACTATGCTGGCTGGCCAGTGAGTTGTAGGAAAGCCTGTCTTTGCCACCACAGCACCTGACATGGGTTCTGGGTATCAAAGTCAGATCCTCTGAATGAGCTGTCTCCTCCCTGCTTCCTTTTTAAAAAATTAACTACATGCCTTTAGTAAATGAGTAATCAAACTTGTCTGCACTCCCCTCAATGGAAGCTATTCCAAAGGAGGATTAAGAGACAAGGCCAGCTGGGCATGGGAGCATACCCATGTAATACGACACTTGCAGGGCTGAATTTGGACTGAGTTGGACATCAGCCTAGGCTACATATTGAGAGCCTGTCTCAAAGGCCAGATTCTGCTGTTCCCTCCGTCCATCTATTGAGTGAGTCTCATGTCAGATGTTTTGTTTCAAAAACAACCGCCACTAAAATACAGTTCAGTTACTTTGTGATCCCAGGAAATTCTTAAACCTGACTAGATTCAGGTTTAAGAAAAATTCCCTACACATTTTACACTTTATTTGCTAAACTTAGCACCCAATGTCTTCACCATTACCATATCATGAGCAGAACAGAACCTTTAACCACCAGTCTGTAACCTTTTATATCAAAAATTTCATTAATTGATGGTTTTCCAGAGAATGCCAAGAAGAAGCAAGACAAGCCACTCCCTCACTTTGTACACAGAATACAAAAGGCAAGGACCATGATGTCCCCATAAGTCACAGACACAAACATTAATCATGATGGTGTGCTAGTAAAGTATAATACAGCATTCCTATTACTTTAGTCTACCAATTATCAGTTCATTTTATGACAGAAAAAGGAAAATATCATAAAAATCCTTTTATTGCTCTAACACTGGAAGCACAATTTTTAATTAGTACTAATTGGTATTTTATGTAGATTTTTTTTGCTTTGCATAGCCCTGTTCTCTAATAAAATCGGCATATGACAGTTTCCTTAACAAACATATTTGTATTACAACTAATTTTTTAACTAAATGAAAATAAGCATAGATGTTTTAACAGTTCTAAAAGAAATGCAACACTGCTGAAAGCCATCAGAAGAAGCATGGGCTAAATCAATAAGCAGAAAGTATCATAAATAAAGTATGCTAACAATATAAACTATTTATATGTCTATATAAAATACCCTTGAATTAAAAAATAAGCCAAATTTTTCTGATAAAAATAAAAAAAATCAGCAAGATGGCTCAATGGGTAACATAAAGGCACTTACCACCTAGCCTTATGGCCTGGGTTCAGTCCCTGGGATTCAGAGTGGAAAAGACACCTATAAGCTATCCTTTGACCACTACATACACACTGTATCACGTGTTAGTATTCAGGCATCTGTACTGCCCTGTCCTTGGGGCTCTCACAGGATACACCCTCAGCTGCAGCCACTAAGAGCAACAACTGTACACATCCACTGTGTTCCTTTTTAAAAGGGGCCTATCCACCTCCCATCCTCCTCTTTCTTTCTCTCCCTCTTTCTCTGTCTCTGTCTCTACCTCTCTCTTCTCTCCCGCTGTTCCTGTCCCTGGAGGCCAGTCCCCCTTTTTATGATTCCTTTTCCTGGTTAAAAAAAAACAAAAACACCTCCACTTGAACTCTATCGAATGGCATCTATCTCTCTCTCTATCTCTCTCTCTCTCTCTCTCTCTCTCTCTCTCGTCACTTTTTTCTCAATTACAACAACATATGTATGCCCCCACCTTCAAATAAATCAAAAAATTTAGAAAAAAACTTAGGTGAGCTTTGTGTTTGCAAAATCCCTGACTTCAATCCCAAGCACTACACAAACAAGGCATGGTTAAATGTGTGGTGTGATACTAACACTCAGGAGGTAGTGGTAGGAAGATCAAAAATTCAAGATCATCCTTAGCTACATAACAAGAATAATGCCAGCTTAAGCTATATGAAGAGACAGGGAGGGGAAGGGGAAGAAAATCTCAACTGGTGTTTCTGTTGAGAATCCATTCATACACTCTAGAACAAAGTTTTTTTCCTTTAAAGTGAAATATCTAAAAATATCTAATTTAGTGAAATCACTAAAATGAAAGTAATGTCAATTATAAAGCAAACACATAAAAGTCTTGGTTTGAAAGAAGGAAGCACTAGACCATTTCAAAGTATTACAATATAGCATCGAACTAAAAATAATTTATTGCCTATTCTTTGGTGCTGCCAATGTGTACAGTCTTTTAAAACAGCTAAAGCTGCAATGGATGAGGGTCTCATTCCATCTAGAGAGTAACCAGCATTCCACCCAGCAATTGCAGTCTCCCCAGCACCATCCCCACTGTGCACCATGACTTATCTCCATGTATGCCTGCATCTACTCTGCTCTCCTTCTGCAAGAAGGGGTGTCCTGCACAGGGAAGATCAATGCACTCATTAAAGCAGCTGATGTAAATTTTGAACCTTTTGGTCTGACTTATTTGCAAAGAGTCTCACGTGCAACACAGGGGCTGCTGGACCTGCTCTTGCAGCTGGTGTCACACTAGCAGGAGTCCTGCCCACTACTGCCATCAGAACAAGAGAAAGCAAGAAAGAAAACTCAAGAGTGGGCAGCTGAGGAGAGATGGCTCAGTGGCTAAGAATGTTTGCTGCTCTTCCAGGAGACCTGAGTTCATTCAGTTCCTAGCACTCATATTGGGCAGCTCAGACCTGCCTGTAGCTCCAGCTGCAAAGGATCGAAGCCTTTCTCTGGCCTCTCTTCAGGGATGCACACACATGTGGCATGCATTCTCATATTCATATTCTCTCTCTCTCTCTCTCTCTCTCTCTCTCTCTCTCTCTCTCTCTCTCTCTCTCACACACACACACACACACAAATAAAAATCTTTAAAAAAGAAAAAAGCCTGGCTGTGGTGGCACACACCTTTAGTTGCAGCAGAGGCAGGTGGATCTCTGTGAGTTAGAGGTCAGCCTAGTCTACAAAGAGAGTTCCATGACAGCCAAGACTGTTACACAGAGAAACCCTGTCTCGAAAAACAAAAAGGCCGGGAGTTGGTGGCGCACGCCTTTAATCCCAGCACCTGGGAGGCAGAGGCAGGCAGATCTCTGTGAGTTCGAGGCCAGCCTGGCCTCCAGAGCAAGTGCCAGGATAGGCTCCAAAGCTACACAGAGAAACCCTGCCTCGAAAAACCAAAAAAAGAAACACAGAAAGAAAGAAAAACAAAAAGAAAGAGGGGGGAGGGCAGGCGGGAAGGAAGGAAGGAAGGAAGGAAGGAAGGAAGGAAGGAAGGAAAACTCAGAGGCACTGATAATGATATGGGCTTTAGTCTATTCTTGCTGTTGTTGTTTAAGATTTACTTTAGCATTTTAGAAAATAATAGTGGTGGATATATTCTGAAAAGGATTCAGCTTTAAAATGTATCCCATATCTACATATAGATCTACTAGGAGAGAATGAAGTTTTATTAGCCTCAGATGTTTATGTACAACCACTGTCTAGTCACTGGTTGTTGATCAATAAGTACCAGAAGTAACAAAAGCAACCAGTAAAAAGCTTAAAATGTAAAGAAAGGAAGAAAAAATATTGAGCAGAGAAACTAGTAGCTATAATCTGGAGTGAAGGGGGCTGGAGAGATGGCTCAGAGGTTAAGAGCACCGACTGCTCTTCCAGAGGTCCTGAGTTCAATTCCCAGCAACCACATGTTGGCTCACAACTATCCATTATGAGATCTGGTACCCTCTTCTGGTGTGCAGAATGTTGTATACATAATAAATAAAATCTTTAAAAAAAAATC